CTAAAATATACAGTGATAAGCAAGTCTTTAATCTCCAGTGATAGAACGACTCAGTTTCAGGAACAACTCACTCAATTAACCAGGACATGATTTAAGCCATTTCTTATGTAATATTGCGATAGTCTACTGCAGGAAATAACAAATACACTATCTTTTCATTTCTGTATTCTGACCAGCACCTGGATTTCAATGAAAATCACAAGCATTCAAACTGATGCAAGTGCCATGACTTTACAAGACCTCTGCTTTTGATTTATATCCATGAACCAGAGGTCTGCCAGACGCTCCACTGCTAGCATAATGCAGATGTTTAATCGCAGCATTAAATGAATACAAGCTTAATCCCACACATAAAGCTAAAGATTCTAAAGAGAAACACTTTCAAATCTATTTTAATAAATCCTGAGTTAAAAGATGCTTATAATTATAGAAGCTTTAAACAAACGAATATGCTTATTTTCATCCTCTTGTTTCATCACTTTTGTTACTCCAGTTTTCTTCAGAGAGCTGTAAGAGGATAGCCTGTTGCTGCTTTCTGCAGAAACTTCAGCTTGCTGTTACAAGGTTCATTCATGACATTTGCACTGAACACACTTGTAGGATTTTTTTATTTTTATGTTTTAAATACTGAAGACAGGAATCAAATATTTCTACAGTACTATGTAGGACGCTAAGGTTCACAACCTAGTTTCACTACCACAGGAACATGCGTGAGCTCTGGGCACAGATACTTCTATGGGCTTGTTTTGATGCATCAGGCCTGCAAGTTCAGTTCTTGTTTTCCGAGTAAGTCCAATTTGTTGTGTGGGGATTCTCTGACTTACAGGACTTTGATTTCTTTTTTTTTTTTTTTTTTTTTTTTTAAGATCTTATGCTTTAAGTTCTGTTTTACAAAACAAGGAGGACAAAAAAGAAATGTCCTTGACTTTTCAAAAAACCCCTGCCCTAACCAGGTAAGAAAATCTGCAATGCTTTTCAGTAATATTAAGAACGTACTAGCAGGGACTCTGCAGTGACTCTTTGTAGATTTAAGATCTATGTTTAATTTTGTGCTTGTGTTTCTAATAGCCTTTTTCTGTACAATTATTCATTTTGGCTGCAAAATAGCATGTGAAAAAAAAATCAGGTTACGTTTCGGAAACAAACAATGCTTTCAAAACCCTAGAAAGATAATTTCCGTTATAATTTTTTCTTGGAATATTGTGTGTACTATTCAATTGCCCTGCTCCGTTTTATTCTATTTCCCCAGTCTTTTTTCAAAAGAACTATACAACAATACATTTTTACAAGTGAACCTCAGCTCCTTCTAAGGTTGAAATGCATCTTACAGCCTAGAGAATGATTTGGTTTATTAACTTGCAGTGCCACCTAGCAAACATCCTTAAAATCTTTTTTCCTGATGTAGCTTTACAAAGGACAGCTTGGAGCTTTCGTATTTTAAAAAAGACAAACTTGTGCTTGCAGTATTTTAAGCATCTAGTACATACTTTTGTTTTGAACAGTTAAATTTGTATTAGAAATTATGCTTACAAATAGGATAATAATAAAGATGCTCACATACCTAAAATTCTGGTATATGAACTTTGAGAACTAGTTTTGGACATATCCCTTATATCTTTGTCTACAAATAGTTCCATTAGTTGTTGCGGGATTTTTTTTGAAATCATACACTTTGATAGTAGGTCAGTGCTGAATTTATTGGAGTTTTGAGATAAGAGAGACTCCTGCCACCAAAATAAGGAGGGTTTTAGCTTATCAAGGCACATTAGTACCCTGTATGCAGACACCTTTTAGACTTGCGTGAAAGCTAGACCGGCTTGATTTGCCCTGCCTTAAAATAATAACCATGTCCCAGGACAAAAGAAGTTTAGCTATTTAACTCTGTGCCTGAACCGTGAAGCTATCCTATAGGCCTACATGCGGGAGACATTAAAATGCAGCAATTCAGAATAAATGCTGCAGCTACTGTCTATTACCCTAAACCTCTAACAGGAAGCTGTTTCCTGTTTAGTTCCTGTGCTCAAGTCTAGTAAGCCATTTAAAAAGAGAATATAACCAAACAAGCAAAAAGCAACCTCATGACATCAAGAGCGAGGGACGGAGAGAAAAATACACTCTGCTGACTAAACTTATCCTTTCTAATAACACATCTTACACCAACTACACTATAAGCTCCTGTACGGATATTTACACAGTACTTTGGTAGCAATACAAAATGATATAGTTTTATTGTTTCTCTTAGAATTTCTGTAAAAATACAGTTTCATTGTTTCTCTTAGAATTTCTAAGTAGAGTTCTGCTATTATGCTTCTTGCTGAACAGAGAAACTACTACATGTTTTATAAAGTTCAAGAAATAAAGCAAGTCAAAACAAAAGATAAGTTTCCAATAATAAGAACGGTTTTGGCTTAGTTATGATCCTATGACCCTTGATTTTTCAGCCTATCTCCAAAGAGTCCAGCACCACGTAAGGACTGTATTTACAGGAAGACTTGTGTATCACTTCAGCAAGCCGAGAGGAAAAAAAGAAATCAAACTTAAAATAAAATAAAGTAAAAGCCCCAACATGCAAAGAATGAAATTTTGACAAGCACTACGGCCCCCATCTTTATCTAAGATGCATGGCAGATGTTTTCATATTTGCCGAGAATTTAATTGCTACCCTAAGTCAAGGAAGAGAACACTTTTTTTTTTCCCCAAAGAAACCTACATTTTGCATCCTCCCTTGAGATCAGAACTGAGCCACTAGCTCCTTCCAGAATAACCATCTCTATATTGTATGGCCCAATTAGTTTTGCATACAACTCTCTCTATGCAAAAATAACAGGTGCATTTCAGATGCTGCATTCCTATAAGAACTTTGGACCTTAGTCCCTGCAGATCGGCAAGAATGGTCTTTCCAAAAAGCCATTTTAATAGAAAAGATCCTTGAAAGTTTGTCTCTCATCAGCCTGACTTGATGCATTTACTTTTTTTGCCAGTTCTGATACCATTCTATGTTTTGGTCCATTTTCATTCATCCTTATCACTGTTTTTCCACAGAGTTCTCCAGATCTTTGAGGTGTTAATTGTTTTCTACATAGCACAAAGACTCACAGTCTGGTTTCCTGCTTGAAAATGTGCTACAAGAAACACAGTTACAAATTCGCTACAAAAAATCCTCCACCAAACATCACAGGCTTTAATGTCACCTCCTTTTCCTTTCACGGAGTTTGCATACATCTGCTGCTAAAATGTTGTAACAAGGGAAAATACTTTACACATTATTTCCATCCACTGGAAGTAGCACCCAGATTTAGAATCAAAAAGTCTTTCCCCTCTCCCCAAGTCCATAGGTTCACCTTGCTTTGAATGACTGAAAAGAAATCACTTTTTCAAGTCAGGTGGATATGTGACATACCATCCATTGTTTAGCATTGGAAGGTTGGATATTAGAGAATGACTGCTACTGTTCCCTTTTATGTTTCAGTCTCTTCTTGACATCACAGTAAAGAAAGAAAAATGAAAATGTAGGTCAGGCATTTCAAACAAGTCCCTCTGGTTTCCAATTTTCAAAAGCTGAAAGCCACCAGAAGCCCGAAGTTCTGACTGAACCAAGCCTCCACAACCCATCTTAAAACGTGTTGACTTATGACTGTCTCACTACACACCACAAAGCACGAATGCTTACTTTAAGATATGGCCTTCAATGTTTTCATTGTCCTCTAAATTGCAAGAGATACAACTCTGTATTTATAAATTCACGTAACTGTTTCCTTCATAAGAGACTAAGATTATTATTGCTAGAACCCATGGCATGTTATAATAAAGTAGGCGGTGTCGATGTTCTCAAATTTATTTTACTAAAATATGCCTTTTCGACTACTAATTATAATACTGCTATTCTTTTTTTTTGCTCTTGTATAATGCGAAGATTAGTCATGACAGGTGTTTTTTTCCTCCTCAGAAAGTAAAGGAAATCCATACCTTAATTAATATAATAAGAAGGTAATTACTATGCTTAAGTGATGAGGACTCAGGCAGCTCTCTGTTAACAAGCTATTTATTTCTCTTTTCATTCAGTTCTTCTACAAGAACTTTTTAGATATGCATAGCTCTTCATGCCAGTTAACAAAATAACGCAGTACAACTGGGGATATGCAACCACCACAACAGGGAGAAAAATTATGACGTACGTCTTCATATTTGCAGAAGGGAGGCCACACATCTATTTTTTTCTCTCTCACCTCCTCTTCATCTCTCAATCTCTGAAATCTTCTAAGCCCTCACAAAAGCATTTTCTGTATGTTTTACAAACTTTCACGGTTCAAACTTACGTCTTATTAACATTTAGCCTCTGTCTCTCTATAAAAGTTGGGGAATACACTTTTTTGCCAGCCAACAAATGAGGATGGATGGCCCTGGAAGTTCTTAGCAGAACACCCTTGCTGTAGTTGCTATTACTTGCAGCACACAGTTCTCTTTCATAAATACACAAAGCTTCTACAGAGAACTAAAAGATGTTGGCCAAAAGAGTTTTGTCAGCATTGTCTTGGCAATTCCCCATGATAGACTTAATAGCGCTACTGACCAGCTAGAGATTAACAGTTAGTTTTTTTTTTTTTAATCACTGCATGCACTGTTACAATTTGTAAGGCAGTCAGGAGAATGAGTAAAAATTTTCAACGCTTGACTCCTGTTCTTTGTCATTCTCTAGGCTATAATTACTAATTAGGAGTCATTCTCAGTTATCACATGCACAATTAAGTAGTTATTCCAAGTTTTCCCTATTAAACAATAACGAAGAAACACATTTCTTTCAATTTCCATGGACAGTTTCACATTTTTATAAAAATAATCAGACATCTACAAAAATACATAATTTTTTTGAAAAAAAATTACCATAAAAAAAGCAACATGGTATTTCTATCTCCTGTTTTATGATATAGTCATTACACAGAGAAGATGAAACCCTATGGAATTTACTATGAAAATCTGTATTTTTTTCACCATTTAAACTTCTAATACTGAGGAAATGTTGGGTCAATTTTACTGGCCCAAGCCATGAGTCCCCCTTTAATATCCCTAGCTAACACAGAACCAAATTCTTTGACAGGTAACTCCTGCAGAATTCTTACAGCCTTCTGGGAGTCATTTCCTAATTTGCAAACAACATATATAGGAAAAGATGTTTGGCCATTAGTTCTCTGCTTTTCTTGACAAATTCTTTTTTCTAAATATTCCAGACATTCTTCATCTTTTTCTTCTAATTTACTCAAAGGAATGTGGACAGCATGTACCAGGCGACAGATATCCACTTCTACCTGCGGACGAACATCTAACAATACATGAGGAACTTGCTCATCCAAGAGTTTTTTGTATTCCTCTACAGATACCCTGTCTTTACTGGACAGCAGATGCAAAGTCCTACACTTGTCTGTTGCAGAAGAACCACAAAATGCCTCATAATCCTGAAGGCAGGTGACAGATGGATTGTCACCACAAACAGCACAGTCTGCTTTCTTTGGTCTTAACTTGATGTTGCGAAATCTCCCTTCACGGGCATCAAACATCAGCATGAACTGACTGAAGGAGGAACCCATTCCCGAAGCGATCTTCAGCACTTCCAAGGCCTGGATGCACCCCATGATGCCTGGCACGACACCCAGCACTCCCCCATCCGCACAATTAGTCACCGTCTCTGGTGGAGGGGGCTTGGGGAAGAGGCACCTGTAGCAGGGCCCTCCCTGGTAGTTGTACACGACTAGCTGCCCCTCCAGCCGGAGGGCACTGCCGGACACTAGGGGCTTCCCAGCCAGGACACAGGCGTCATTCACCAAGTACCTGGTGGGGACGTTGTCGGAGCAGTCGGCGACGACGTCGTACTGCCGCACCAGCTCCAGGGCGGTGCGAGGGCTCAGCGCGCCGCAGTAGGGCACGTACTCTACGGTGGAGTTCA